ACTTGTCCTCCTTCCCACCTTCTCATTTCCGAGTGCTTCCTAGTGGCTGAGTTGGAAGCCAGAGGAAGGATGGACACCCATTTATGTAATTTACATAGGTCAGCCTCCTGGGGTACAGAGCAAGAGTGGGGAGGAATGTGGAAGACGAACCAGGACAGTGGTTGAGCAGGATATATATTACATATCCTATATAAAAAAAGCCTAATATGCTAAGTGTCTGTTCATCCAGTCGTTGGCCGTTCAATCAAAAGCATAATATGCTAATGATATGCTACGGCTGCTCAACCGCTCACTATGTCATGCACTGATGACCACCAGGGGGCAGATAGTTGACCTGTCGACCAGTCACTATGATGTGCACTGACCACCAGGGGGAAGATGCTCTGACTGGTGGGTTAGCTTACTGCTGGGGTCCGGCTGATCAGGACTGAGTGAGATGGGCCAGACACACTCTGGAGCCTTCCCACAGTCCCTCCCCAGCTGGCCAACCTCCCATGTCCTTCCCCGGCCCTGATCGTGCACTGGTGGGGTCCCTTGGCCTGGCCTGCGCCCTCTCGCAATCTGGGACCCCTCGGGGATGTCAGAGAGCCGGTTTTGGCCTGATACCGCAGGCCAGGCCGAAGGACCCCACCAGTGCACAAATTCATGCACCGGGCCTCTAGTGGGTTAATAAAAAATGTCACCTGTGTTTTTATTGGCCTTTGTGCATTAATAAGCAGTAAGTAGTTTATGGAGAAAGTTATTATATACAAAATGTTTATTCGTGAAATAAGTGGAATTCCACTAACAGTATTCAGTTGAACTGCTGCAAGTGTTAACTTCCAACTAATAATCGCTTCATTACGTTCCATCCAAGCAGGCATTGCAAGACTCCTAGATTTTTTCACTCAGGAAATACTGAGTATCTTTTACATGTAAGGCACCGTTCTAGGGCTGGGACATAGGTACAAAAAAAGACAAATTTGCGATTTCCTATGATGTCCCATATTATGTGTTTTCTTTGGTCCTGATGGTATTGCATGTTTTTAGAACTTGGCTTTCACAAAGCTGAACCGTGTGGC